CACTGAAAGGGAGTAAAACGTTCTTACCAGTTGGGATAAAAGTTTTTATTACAAATGTAAGCACATTGCAATGGTTTAAAACTTAATAAAGGAGATCCTACTATACTGCTTAAACCTCCCAACTGCTTCCTTTTAGAGCATAAGAAACTATTTTGATTAAATGCTTCCATTTTGAGACATCTACACAGTATTTATAGAAAACTCATGAGTCAATTTGAGTGAGGTATGATGCCAAAATGTGCAAAGGAGTGAAAACATTGGTTGTTGTCCTTGTTACCTTAATATAAGAACATTTCACAAAAGTCTCTAGTGCTTGTGTTACTAAAACATGGAAGACTGGGTTCGAACATTTTAAAAAAGTGGTTCAGTGTGGGAAATGTGACGTATAGTATAGGATTAGCTTCAGCACCTTCTGAAAGTAATGCTTCATTTGAACGAATTTTCTCAGTCAAGGATGCTAAGAGAAGAACAGACTGTATGTGGGTACAGCCAAAGTCATCTTTATTATTAAAACTAAGTTTAGATTATTAAGCATTGAATTTTATATTTGTTAACTTATATAGAAATTTCAAAAAAGAAAAATCCACTCTACCAATAAGTCAGTATTCAGAAACCTATCTGAATGCCATTTTTTGGTTTTCAAAGTGGCACAATTCTGCGCAACTCATTTTGCTCCCTCAGTAACTAAAGCTTCCTGGATGGAGTCTAAGGACAACTCCTCGTACATGGAACCCCACTCCCAAAGCCAAACATGTTAGAAGAAGAACCTTCCACCTGTTTGGTCTTCTAGAATGCAGTCTGAATTTTACATCTTGGTTTGCCACATATTTAGTGTGTAGAAATTCAGAAGCTGTATCCCATTTGTGGTTCACCCTACTCTACAAAACCCAGAATGAGTCTGCAAGCTGAGTAAAAAGTGCTTACTCTTTTACTTCCCTCTCCCCATATTTTCTTTAAAATTCCATGACAGCAATAGATGTAAAGCAAGTAGCTTTAAAAATACAGTGTATATCTAAGTGAATAATAGTGACCTACCAAGTGTCTTGGGTACCTTTGGTGCCTGAAACAGCTTAGTGAAAGACAAAAGCAGAGCTGAAAGCTAAAAACAACAGGAAATAGAAAGTGCTAATTGGTACTACCAAGTCCTGATGGTTCCATTGCAGTTACATGGCAGAGAAAGAGACTAAGCTCAGAAAAAGAAACACTCTGAGCCACGAGTTTGTGGGATGTTCTGAAGTACTTAGCAAAACTAGGTCTAGGACATCCTCTTCATGCCTATGCTCTTTGCCACTGACCCATGCCCAAAATCCTAGCAAGTAACAGAGGCTTGAGGATGTCCTGTGGTCGCTTACCAGATATGTACATTTGAGAGGCCATTGCTTTCTTTGCTTTTTTTTTTTTTTAACTATGTGTCTGAACAGATGGCAATGATATTACTTTAGTATTTATCTTTATTGTGGACTTTATTCTTTCAAGCACATTCTTCTCACACTTTGCTTCAAGATTAGTGACCTAGATTATTTTCCAAACTGGCCTGTTATACACACTGGTCGGTACAAACTATCATACTGGTTCAAAGAAATATATCAAGTCTCCTCCAGGCAATATAAATGACTTAGACTTAGTATTTCCTGTCCAATGATTTGCCCAAAATACAGTCACCTTGCATGACTCATACAGTTAAAGTTGCAGCAGGTAACATTTATTCTAAATGCATGGCTATTGCTCTACTCAAAGTGGGGAAAAATAGGACATTTAAGTGTGTGTGTGTGGAGGGGTGTTCATTCTCTAATAATAGTTGAACTGTGCCATATTGGGTATTTTTAGGATGATAGCAAATTTATATCCAAGATTTTAAACTATTGCAATTTACATTAATTATATGTAACACAAATACATTTTGCATGTTCTTTTCCAGTTAAATTTTACATAAAAACAACTATTAACAACTGTAAGCACTATGAAGCTAATAATAACTTTTGGGAAGGTGAATAACTTCATCCTTAAATTCACACCTTTATTATCTCCTTATTTTCACATCAACTTGATTATATAGCAGTGCTCTGAAATTCCTCCTAGGAATTTTTGACCAAACTACCCAACGCTGCATAATTTGTGGAGACTGGGAAGAAAAATTAATATTTATCTCTGAAATAAGAAGAGGTGATTTACACCAAATTTACTGGTACTTGCAGTACTCTGCCAAGCGTCTTAGTTTGAAACCAGTTAATTGTCCTCTTTTTAGATTTAAGATAACATAATAGGTAGTAGTCAATCTGTTCTTTTTGGTTTTAACAGTTAAAAGGATTTTAGTCTTTGTTTTATTCTAATTACCCAATTAACTTCTTAGTTGTACTGCTATCTTGGGATCAAAAACCTGCAACCGATTTTAGTCCTCATGTTAATAGCAGAAGGAGAATGGAACTTGCCAAGTGCAATACTAAAAGAGGATGGCTAGTCATGAGATTGATTCAAGCTTAAAAGAAAAACTTTTAGAAGGTGAGATAGTGTGACATAATAATGTCCCAGTTTTTAAAAATCTACTAAATGCTGCAACCCCCCATGTCGGAACTCAAATCACTGGCAATCTAAGATTAAACTCCCTGATTGGTTGTGTTGTAAGGCACATCCTGAGTTAACCCGGCACTTCATACACAAGTACTTTAGTATTCATAAGCTGCCAATTAAATTGCTCTAAAAATAAACTGTCATTTGTTTAACACTTTCCAAAAAGCCTGAGAAAGGGGGTGGGGTTATTCCAGAGAGATGAAAGTGGGTGGGGTGAGGGGAGTGTAATAAAAATGTTTTGAATGGTGTTTAGGGGGAAATTAGTGTTTTCAGTAAAATCATGTATAAAAGAAACAGAAAGGCCTGCAAAGATACACTGCTCTTGGGGAATTATTTCCCACTCTCAGGTACTATGGAAGGACTAACTTCAAGGTCCCTAGACAAATGGCCAAATCTAAACAATAATGCTTTTACAAAAGTAGTCCTTTCTGGGAAGACAGCTAAATCTTTTCACAGGAGGACATGAGAGGGCTTCAGAAAACCAGGATCCTTAAGGTGTGAAGCGGGAGCCCCTCCCCTCCCAACTGCAGCCCTGGACCTGCCCCACTTTGGGAAGTCCTGTGAAATGGTGTTGCAGATGTGGGTTGGTTTTGCTGGAACCAAGCCTCAGCAAGTGTCCCTGGGATGCTGGAGGTTGGGGGACACCTCCTAGCTGAAATAGCAATGCACATGGAAAGGTGAATACTGCTTTTCCCCTGGGCAATTCTCAGGGGGCCAATACTATTACCGGGCTGCTAAAGGCTGAGAAGTTAGGACAAAGAAGGGTATAAGGGTGGGGGTGGGAGGATGGTTAGACCCGGGATAGAGCTGGAGCACAAGGACCAGGGTTCCAGGACAGAGATAGTCTGCTGCACCACGGAGCGCGACTGGCAGGCAAAGGCAACTCTCAAAATCTCCACTGCCATCTCAGCACCCCAGCTGGGGGCAACCTCCTCCGCCTGAGTACTTGAGCATCAGTGAGCAGCGGCCCTCTTGGACAGACTAGAAATTCTGTTTCCCTCTTGCTGCATAAGTGGTGCTTAAAGGGTGCTCAGCCTCCACGCCCACTGCCTCCCTCCCCGCCCACCCACACCTTGTTCTCCTCCTCTGCTCCCTCTGCACCCTCAGGCGGCAGCCCCCTCAGAGCGCACCACCCCAACTAGCTGCATTAGCAAAGTTCAGAGGCTGGGAGCGGGCAGCCACTTGCTGCCCAGCAGAGTGGGTTCCGGGTACCAGCGCGGCCCCTGGCTGAGCTCGGGGTGTCAGGGTGGCCACAGAGATCCATGATCTACTGCACCGCAGTGCCAGCTTCCAGAGCATTGAGCGCCGGGCTGCCACTGCAGGACAGCCGGTCCCGCCCCCTCCTCCCCACACAGCTCCAGACACAAACACAGGGCCGGTCCCTCCCCATCCTAAACTCAGTCGGGGGACTCCCCTAGCCCCTGGCTGCAGGCAGGCGCTGTTCCGGGAAAGGCGCACGCAGCCTCCTCGCCCGTGGTGGCCGCCACCATGCAGCCCGCCGGCCTGGCCACCCCCGAGTTGCTCGCCCACAACTCGGCCGCCCCCAAACGCTTCAGACAGAGAGGAGGGGAAGTGAACCCCTCGCCGGCTCCCCAAATCACCTGCATTTGCATTTCTTATGTAATGTACTGCAAGTTTCCCTGTTGGAGCCCTTTAGAATCCCAGCGCATGATCACCAAGAGACTTAAAGCAGGGACTCTCTGCCCCACTCATCCCCCGGTGGGACTCAGACGCAGGGTTTGACAGTGCTTTCTGAAGAGGGGATTTAAATGACATATACGAGAGGGGCTGGGCTTGTCTTCTCTGCCCGGGGTTCCCTTCAGGCATAAACCCTGCTCAAGTATTCCCAGTGGCAGGATGTGTCAGAGGCAGACAGAGGGAATGAGTTAATACTCGGGCACCGAGAGCTAGACGGGGGAGGGAGGCGGGGGCTGACGGAGGAGCGGGGCCGCGAGGGAGGGGGCCTCTCTTACTTTGGTAAAGGTGATCGAGGTGGCGAATATTGTGCAAGCTAATCAGAAAGTCTAGTGCTACGTCCCCGAACCTGCAGCAGAAGTACGGGAGAGCTCGTCGCTTTAGCTCCTGCCAACTACCGAAGCTTCGGCTGCCTTGGGCACAACCTTAAACCGTAGCACCCTTCAATATTCCACCAAGCATAGGCAACCAAATACATTTAGGAAAAAAAGAAGTTTCCTCCGCCCTCCTAGTGATGGATCGTGTCACAGCCAAGAGATGCTGATAATGGTTTTCGGGTTCGCAGACGCGGATCCAGCTGCTACTTGTTTATTCATGCAGCACCTCTATATGCAACACTGTCCTGGTTCCTTGTATGTTTCCCTGCCTTCCTGCATAGCAGAACTGCAGATCTAGCTCGATGAGCAACAGACAGGTTATTATGAGGAAAAACATAACATGATGCATGTTTTGCTTACCAGTTGGGTTCTTGTTTTTCTTAAGACTCTTGCCACAAAGACACTGCAGCATATGCGTTCCTTTGCTGAAAATGTTCCAAAGAAACCACATTGATTTGGGCGAAAAGCAATCCAGCAGCTTAGACACCCTGAGAAACAAGAGATCCTTGTGGTTGCATAATAATAATTTGAAATCAGTTCTCCTGAAGAGGGGCACCGGTTTTACCATAGGAAAAACGATAATATTCCGGATCTTCTCCCAGTTTTTTCCCCTCACGTGGTATATTTCTTTGAGACTTCTCAGTGATTGTTTTTTCTCGGCCAGGGTGAATGATTTATCCCCCCTCGATCACCACTGGATTATTACCAAAAGGTTGGGAAAAAAATCCTTTTTCAGCATGAAGTCAAACAAAAAGGCAAAGAAATCCCAACTGAGACCAAAACTAATCAGGGAGAGCAGTAATGCACAAAAGATCCCCGAAGAGAAAACCATAGCCTTTTACTTGATCGTTATGAGGATGGGTGGATCTGCAGAAGGCAAAGCAGGATTCATCTTACTGAGAGAAGACTGCCATTGTGTAGCCCCTAGGAGAGAAGGAAAAAAAAAAAAAAAGGAAAGAAAGGAAGGAAGGAAGGAAAAGGAAAAAGGAAAGAAAAGAGAAAAAAAAAAAAAAAAACAACCACCACAAAAACCCACACCCAAAAACCCCCCCGGGGACTGAGTCCGGCAGCCGAAGACAGAGCTTCCCTTCTCCCAGTGTCGATTTTTTTCTTTTTCTTTCTTTCTTTTCTTTCTTTCTTTTTTTTTTTTTTAATAATCAATCGCCAGTGCTCAGTGGGATCGGGTTGAACCTGCAGTTCTCAATCACCAGGAAGAAAAGATGCAAATCTAGGTGCCCCCTCCCCTGGTCAGTCTCGTAGTAGGTAGAGAGCTCCACAAATCCCCTTCCTCCTTCCTCTCACTCTTCCAGTTTCCAACCACCGTGAGCATGAGGAAAATCTCCCCTCCGGATTCCTCGCCCAGCCTCGGATGTGAGTTACAGGCATTAGAGGGAGGAGGAGGAGTTGAAGTTTGCATTGAAAAGACTGGCTTTCCATGACGTAGCCACGTGCTCTCAGACCCGTCACCAGTGAGGTGCTTCAACCAGCCCGGGGAGGGCACTGTCACTGCAGTCTCTGCCTGGGCCCCTCCTGAAGGCTTCCCACCAGCCCGCCCAGGTCCCAGCCCCGGCCCCAGCCCCTACACGACCCTCTCCCTCCTCCACTAGGCTCCAGCCGGCCTGCTGCTGGCTCGTGAAGCCAGTCTAACAGCTTTCTGTTAAAAGTGGATTTGGAAAAAGAAAATTAACAATTATAATGAGTAAACCTTAGAAAATGCATGGGGGGTGGGGGGGTGCAGACAGTTTAATAACATTCCACACAGCCAAAAATCATTACTTCCACTTTTCCGTTTTCAAAAGGAGCTTGTAAAGCAACTCAAACGTTAAGGAAAACCCAAGTTCCTTGAACTCTTATTATGTGAATCCTACTTAAAGTGCTGTTTGAAAAATGTAAACTAGTTATAGGACAAATATGTATTTCTAGAAAGAGCCTGTCAAAAGTACAGCCACTGAAATCTAGAAACAAACTACTTTTTTGTAGAGAGGGTCATGTATATGCACATGAGAAAGTTCATGCCTTTTCTAAAGACTACCCAATATCTTAAAATATATTTTGTGAAGGAAGCACCCTGATTAAATCACAACCTTTTAAGCTGCTTATTTCTGCACCCTTTAATTGAACATTAAACTCGACTTTGTTTACTCCTCATCTGCATGTATCACCCACACCACAGTCTAGTCCAACAAAATGGACACGTTTTCTACTTTCATCACTATATAACTCAGCTCTCCACTTACCCAGAAAAACCAAAGGATTTGGAATAGAGCTGTTGGTTGATTTTATTTAGGGGGAAAAAAAAATACAATAACAAACTTCAGTGTTTCTACTACTTAAAATTAGTAAAAATCAGCAGAGGATTTTGGAGAAGTAAAATTGACCACTCTCACTCCATTTAGGTGAATGAATTAAATTTACACTAGCTTACTTCCACTTTAATAGGAAAACTGACACAATAATTTGAATTCTAATTTTAAAACATACATTTAAAGGCTCCAGGTTAACTTTTAAAAAATTAAATCTACTGTCTCAAATGCATGCTATAATCAAACTATCTTACAAGCAACAGAAGTAGATTTAAATTTATGTAGATTATATAAATATAATCAACTTATGCAATGATGGAAGAGGCTGGCTTTGAAAATAAACTTCTCAATTATCAGTTGTCAGAAAATAAAAATTTAATAAACAATTTCCCAACTCTCTGAGTGTTCCAATAAATAAAAGATATTTCCAGACATTATAATTTGCATCAAATACCCTGACCTTTTGGGAAAAACCAGTCAATTTTAGATTAAAGTAGAAGAATTTAAAACAAGTAAGTTTTATTAAAGCTAAAAGTGGGAAAGGTAACTAGTGATGGCTTCTACATGTCAAAAGAATCATATTGATTAAAGAAATTACTAAGATTAATTGCAGTCTAAAAAGCTTGGGAAGAAAAGAAGAGAATTTAATTTAAATTAAATGAATTTAATGTCAAATGATTTAATAGGAAGAAGCATACTTGGAATTAACATGAAGAGTAGAATTCTTTTTTGAAAGAAGAAAAGTGAGATAGCATTACCTAACAATTAGGAAATGAATTTTTTATATAAATCATGGGCAGATACCATATATTGCTTCTGTAACACTCTGGTGTCCTCTAGGGGGTTCCAGAATATCCCAATATATTACCACTGGGCAAATGCAAAAGAAACAGTTGAATTAAAAAAAAAATTCTCTCCATCACCATTTTCACAAAAAATAACTCTCCATCAATGTTTTCCAAACGTGACTAGGCTCTGTAAGTTTTCTGAGTTCCCCAGGATATTTTACAAGGACAGTAAAATTTGGGGAGATGTTCCCTAATTATTGAATCTTCTTACATGCTAATTCTGTATAAAGAGTATTTCTCAAGCCAGCTCTTCTTGAACCTACAATTTCCCACTCTTCTCTATACTGTTAGAGTGAATTTATTCCCTATTAAAATGAAGAATGAGGCCGGGTGTGGTGGCGCACACCTGTAATCCCAGGAGGCGGAAGCAGGAGGATCACGAGTTCAAAACCAGCCTCCGCAATTTAGAGAGGCACTTAGCAACTCAGTGAGACCCTGTCTCTAATAAACTACAGAATAGGGCTAGGGATGTGGCTCAGTTCGAGTTGCCCTTGAGTTCAATCCCTGGTACCCACTCCCCACCCCTGCCAAAAAAAAAGAATGACTGCCAGAAAGCCATGGTTTCTTTCACTACTGATTGGTGGAGACTATGATCCAAAAATATTATGTTTACAAGAGTTCCAGACCATTATTTATGTTTCATTTTGCAAGATATTAAAAGGTTTGCTTGCTCTGAGCTGTACTATGTTCAAATCAATACTAGATGACAAAATGGAAACTAATGGAAGACAAAGGCAAATTTTAAAACACATGTAAGTAAAAATAAGGAAAGACTGTAAGAATTTACAGTAAAATATGTAGAGCATTGGTTAAAAAATTGACTGTTTTCATCAGGCTAAAGTAAAATAAACCCAATACTCACAAATTCATTTAAAAAATAAGCTTCCCTTTAGTATATCATAGTAAACAAACCTTAAAGTAAGTATAATGAGAAGAATTTCATGATATAATAACATTTGGGGGTTTGTTTGTTTGTTTTTTGGTACAAGGGATTGCACCCAGATGTGTTTTACCACTGAGCCACACCCCCAGCCATTTGTATTTTGAGACAGGATCTCACTGAGACTGGCCTTGAACTTGCAATCCTCCTGCTTCAGCCTTACAAGTAACTGGCATTACCAAGCATGCCACTGCCCCCAGCATAACATGTACATTATATTTTAATATAGAACATGGAACTTTCACAACATTAGTTCAAAATAAAACTATTTCACCATGTTTTTTCTATTTGTTGCCAAGTTTTACTCTTCTATTTCTCTTATTTTAGTAATAAAACCTTAGCCCACCACAGTTTTGAAAGGACATGTGGGTATCTAGACGGAGAACATAGTTCCTAGGCTGCATTATAATTAAGTCTGGTCAGATGACTAGATTCTGACCAGTGATATGTAAGCAGGAGTGACATGTTCAACTTCCCCATCACATTCTTCAAAGGAAGTTGATAGCCTTCCACTTCTTCCTTCCCTCCTTTCTTTAAACAGCAAAGTAATGGCATGAGCGGCTTTGACAGCAAGGACAGGATCACACACCAAGAACAGTGAAGTGCAGAGTAGAAGAAACCTGGGACCCTGGACACAGCTACCTGCCCCATCCTGAACTGCCCACCTGCCTGTACACTATTAGATGAAAAGAAAGAAACTTTTATCTTGTCTGAGCCTATCTTAGTCCCTCTGCACTGCTATAACAAAATACTATAAATTGTAAGCTAGAGAAATTTATTTCTCACAATTATAGAGGTTGAGTAGTCCAAGATCCAGGAGCCAGCAGGCCCAGTGTTGGTGAGGGCCTGTTTCCTCATAGCAGTGCCTTTTTGCTGAGTCCTCACATGATGGAAGGGACAACGAGTTCCCATGGCCCTCTTTGATAAAGGCACTAATCACATTGATGAGGGTTCCACCCTTCTGATTCAATCGCCTCTTAAAGGGGCTGCCTCTCACTGTTATCACATTTGGGCATTCTGTTTCAATATAAGCATTGTGGGGGGACACAAGAATTCAGACCAAAGCGGAGCCATTGTGTTTTTGTGTGACTTTGTCATAGCAGTTTATCTTCTCTGCTGATTTATGGACCAGACTTTAATTGATAAAAACACACATACTGGGGTTATTTATTTTTAAATGATAAAGAGCATAAGTCCATAACATATGCCCCATAGCTTGATCCAGTCTACCATCCTCCTTTCCATCCACTGGGGCATCTACTTATCTCTTTGCTCCCTTTAGCAAGCGCAGGCTTATCCTCACCACCAGGAAAACATCTGCTGCCAGATCTTCCTTCCCCTGCCTCCTCCTCTGGCCTGTTCCCTGCCCGTCAGATGCAACCCATGACAGTTTAGAGCTTATGACTGTGGGGATAAAGCTTTGATTACTGGAAGGAGAAGAACAGAGAGAAAAGTGATTGAGAGAGTTGGTCCTGAAGGAACTCAACAAAGAAAAAGACCAATGTGCACAGGAAGCCCTCAGACCTAGTCACCCCGCAAACCTCTTTCAAAAAGATGGAGCTTTGTTGTTTGCACACTTATTCCTTCTCTATTGTTGGTGTTAACAATTACTATAATTTTTTAGGGAATGATTCTAAATTCCGCATCCCTGTCTTCCTCCTTAGTACCTGTTCTTCCTCCCCTCATGTTCCCACACTGACTCAGAACATAGGAAACCTCTGTTCCTCTCTCCTGGAGGGAACAATCTAGAAAGGTACCTTGGGTCTCTCTGCCCCCTGCCAATCTCTCACAGTAAGAAAGAACAATTCCTGGACTAACACAGCCCAGCCATTTCTCCTCTATCTCTGTGCTCTGCCTGTCT